AGTCTTGAACATAATCCTGGCTGAAACGTTTCAGTTGAGTTTCATTTAACCTTTTACAATTTATTTGTTTCTTTTTAGTCTGCAGCATTTGCATATCGAGAATGTTTCATTTTTAAATTCAAACTCTTCTAAGTTGTGAAACGTAATTTTTTGACTCAAAAAAAAAAAAAATTTGCACTGTGACGGAGCTCATTAATATTACAAAAATGCCCAAAATAAAAGTGTTTATAACACTGTGTAAAGCAAATAAATATCTGCCACTTTGTTTTTGAAAATATATGTTGTTTATTGTGTGGGTGTAAATGTGCTTTGGGCAATTTCTATTATTATGTAAATGATATGCAAATTAGGCCGCCACAGTGGTTTAAATTCCTGGGGAGGACACTGACTCTAAACAATTATCTCAATGAAATTAGACAACTTCAGAAATGTTTTTTAAGTGTTACGAATTTGTTATTGAAAGTATTTTTGGTATTTTCAGATGAAGTCAGCACTTCTCTTGAAAGAAGTAAGGAGACAAAGAGAGTGATAGCAAGGGGAAAACAGGAAGTAGATACAACATCGTGATGGCAGTCTGACAATAAAATGTGTTAATTATAATTATAAAGTGGAGAAGGACATTCCATGAGATGTATTGCAAGTATGGTATTTATTTGTTTATTATAAAGCATCAAGCAATACAACAACTGGTATAGACAGGTGTGAGATTACAACCCAACAGAGATCACATATCTAGGAGGCCAGCTAAAAATCTCAACAATTCAATATTGCAGATATGGACAGGATTCAAGGCAACAGTATGTCATTGCTTTCTTAGTCGTCTTGGAACATCCGGTTGTATAATGTAAAGCATCGCCAGTATTACCAGCACCTACCATAACTAGTTGCTACTGTGTCTCAATAGAAATGAAGTCTACAACAGCCCAAAACACTAATAAGATAAATAATATCCACAGAAATGATAAATTAAAATTAGCAAATGATAATTTTAACTTTATTATCAAAATTGATTATACTGATTTACAAAATGAAACTCAGACGTTGGTTAAACTGCAATGGTTTATGAATAGATCAAATTTAATACTCCTGGCAGCTGGCATTGATTCAAAATGAACACAGACAGTATGACAACTGACTGACCCAAGTGCCAAATTGTAATGAGATGACAGGCAGTGATATGAAATCAAGAACTTATAAAATAATATAACCAGTGGCTTTCAAAATATAACTAACTCACTGTGGTAATATTACATATTTTCTGGTATTGTATGTACAGTGACTTGTGTTGATTTTTCCTAATTACTGTGGATTTCTACTTGGCTTGACTGAGTGCTCAAGTGTAATCCTATCTTTATTTGCTTTCTAAATTTTAGATGTAGGGAAAAATAACTTTACACAAGAAATGCTGGATGGATATATGAAGACTGCCGCAATAAATTCTGCATATACACATACTCCTGTACTATGTCACAATCAGTATTCCACCCGGACATTTTTTAGTACGACGGTCTTACTGCAGTCAAATGTTCAAGAAAACAATAGGAGTTATCCTTGCACTAATGAGAGCTATTGTTTCCAAAATAATCCATTCATGTAAAACAACAAATTCTGACCCATTTAGAGACTTTGAAATAAGGGACAGCACAACTCAAGCATATACATGCAGGAATATGTCAGTTGTCATAGAAACCACTACTATTTGCAACAACACCAACATATTGACTGTCACATTATTATCCATAATTCCAGAAATCAAAGAAGATATTAATAACAAAAATTTTTTTTTAGAAAATAAATTGACAGTGTTGATGATAGGAGAAATATTACTTACCTGTGTGAGGTCCCTAACATAAAAACCAAATATCAGGGAATACTAAGAAGTTATTACGAGGATACTTCAAATTATGCACGAAGACAGTACAGCAGGAGTATAGACCAACACGCAGCGGAGGTCAATGCGATGGCGTACTGTCTGAGTGCATACTTTGAGGTATTCTCATAATAACCTTATTATTATACATCTTTTCCTTCCAAAGATACCTCATGGGAACGCCAAAATCCAAAATGTATTGAACAGAATCAGCAAACTTCTGTGTGTTGAGTCCAGTCAAACCGGGTTGGCAGCCATGTTTGAATTTATTATTAGAGGACACTTATGCGCGTAATCATTCCATATTTCAAATTCACATTTCCTAATATGATAGGATGAAAATACCCGGTAAAATACTGCAAAATTACGGCACGCTGTAACATATGGCGTTATGGTGATAGATGTATAATAACCTTATAGTATTTCAAAATTGTTTGTAAAATTGTTATTCTCATATGCCATCTTGTCTCGACTATTCTTTTCACGTATAAGTTGTAAGTGTAAGTTCTACTGGTACATATAGTGTATCTCATCACAGAAAAGCATAATGGGATAATATGATGAGGGCTGTGTGACTGACTCCATTAGGACATTTTAAAACACACTTCTGCTGTCAACCAGGTTTGACTAGGCAGAATTACACGTGACTCTCAATCCCAAAAGTTGTACTTACTTAACTACTTCTGCAAATCCACATGATGCTGCTGCATGTAATGCTGTCCAGCCTTCATTATCCTGCATTTCTATGTCTGCACCATTTTCTATTAAAAATTCTGCCATTTCCAAATTTTCATCAATGACAGCCTGAAATAGAAATGAACGAAAAATTAATTAAGCAAGGTAAAAGTTAATATAGACCAATCATAAAAAAAAATACTAGGATTTATGATGCCTGCAGGGCTTGAGAAGGCACCCATAATAATATTGGTATTAAGATGCACTACAGTGAGACTTTATTCGGGTTATATAGCAAAATCAGGTTCATGAGGCCACAGCAGTAACTAACCAGCTTACAGGGCCATATTAGTTTGTAACCGGTTTACAGGGCCATATCAGTTTGTAACCGGTTTACAGGGCCATATCAGTTTGTAACCGGTTTACAGGGCCATATCACTTTGTAACTGGTTTACAGGGCCATATCAGTTAGTAACTGGTTCACAAGGGCAATATCAGTTAGTAACCGGTTCACAAGGCCATAGCAGTAACTAACCAGCTTACAGGGCCATATTAGTTTGTAACCGGTTTACAGGGCCATATCAGTTAGTAACTGGTTCACAAGGGTAATATCAGTAAGGGCATAGCAATAAGTAACCATTTTATAAGGTCATATTAGTAACTGGTTCACAAGGGCCATATCAGTTAGTAACTGGTTCACAAGGGCATAGCAATAAGTAACCAGTTTATAAGGTCATATCAGTAATGCTGTTATATTCCATTCATATTGTTAAGGCAGGTGTACAAATATATATTGTCATACATATCTTCATGTTACCACTGAATCTCGAAAACTATTGGTGCACTTAAAAACAAAACACAAAAAATTTAAAAGAATATTTCTCATATTGTTTAATTTCGCTGAAAAAAATGAGGATTATAAGGAACAAGTGTATTTTCATGAGTACACCAGCAAAGTTTTGAGTTTTTAAGTTTTAGAATTTTAACTTTAGTAAATTTTCGTGTAGTTTCCTACATGTATGAAAAGTTACGTACTTAGACATACATTGTATACAGAGAAATATGTGAATAATCTAGAAATCTTATATTGCAAGTTTCAATTTCACATACCATTGCCAAATCAAGACAGTGGATGAACTATGAACTCTGACAGAACATTTTAAAGGAAGCAGTGCATCCTGGGATTGTACATAGTGTGAGAAACACAATCAGTCTGTGGTTTCCAATCTGTGAAGAAAAGCGACTTTTTGAATGAGCACCATAATTTTTTCACTCCAGATTTTGGTGAAACATTTTTAATGTTTTCATGTAATTTTCTATAATTGTTTTCATAATTTTAGACCAAATTGAAATAAGCAAGATGTCTAGCGGCTCATTTTTAATAATTTCCTGTAACAGACTGTATATTACCATGTTAACAAAAATCAATAGAACACAACCACTTTATATACTTTGAATAATAATTCTATATTTTCTCATTAAGAGACGTACTATGCTACATCACTAAAAGTATTTTGACAAGAAAAATCTTTTCATAATAGTACATTACGAATAGAGCATACACTGTATATAGTAATAGTACATTACTAATAGAGCAAATATGGTAATTACTATTACTAATAGAGCAAATATGGTAAGTACTATTACTAATTAAAATCTTTAATGGATCTATTTAGAAGTTTTGTAAAATAAATTTGATTTCCCCATATTCGATTCATCAAACAAGATTGCAATAGATCAAATATTCATGACTGTTATTCGGATGAGCAGCTGTTTTCTGGATACCTGCTTTTTTGAAAATGTTGTCTTCATGTGAAGTATGAAGTCTTCTAGACTGTTGGACTCATTACTGTGTTTATTTTGTGAGAATTGCTGGGGTGGCACATGTAAATATCACAGCATGAAGACACAGTAATGTGAATGCCATTCGTTGGGGCCCTTGTAAAAAATTCTATAGATCCAGCAAGTATCTGAAAACTGAATTCACAGTTGTTGGTCTAATGCCTAACTGGTTCATCGAAACAAAATAGCTGTACTGTCTTCGTAAATTAAGTAAATAATTTACCACAAGTTTAAGCATCAGTACTGTGTATTCTAATACTGTAAAAGGATTAATTATTCACTGGGTTTTAAGTTCGCTTATTTCGCTGACTGGAAAATGCCCTAAATTAAAATCCAGTGAATATGTAAAATTGTACATAGAACACATTCTCTAAATGATAAAACTGTGAATTTAAAACCCACTGAATATGCCTGAAACGGTAAATCCGTGAAATTTAAACCCAGTGAAAATTAGTCATTTTACAGTATTGGATATTGTAAGCAAATAAATGAAAGTAGCAGGGGTCAAATTCACAGAGGTCAAATATTTCCTTCATAATTCAATTCAAAGCATTTTAGAAATGTTGATATTAAAATTGGTTGTCCTCAGAATACCAAAAGTAGAATATCCAGACACAGTTTTTATGATGAACATAGGATTATCATATCTCAGTCATACATATGTAAATAACATTTACAGTATTACATTACCCACTCAACGGACTGAATGAAAGTGACATGGTAAAGACAGAGGTAGAAATACATAAACATTATTATCATAAATAATATGAAATATGGTTGACTACCAGAAAAAAAGAAAGATAAAAGTTATGAAAATATTCACTTACAAAAAGATCTTAAAAAACATTTACTCTGAAACATTGATTCTAAAAACAGGAGAAAACTTTTTTTCAAACAAATATAAATCAAAAAGAGAAAAATGATTGCAAAGTTGCAGGTATTGTTAAAATGTACACTACAGAACACAAATAAACTTGACTGACTTTTAAAGTGCATCATCTCAGGGGGGCAAATTGCCTGCATATATCAAAGTTCAGTGTACATATAAAGACATGTACAAAGAATGCTTTACATTTGAAACATCTGGACATTAGGACAAGTTTTCCATCTATTTGATATCAGCGAACTGACGCAAATAATTAGACTGGCGCAGTCTGGGCGATTAATTTGTTTTTGTAGTTTAAATAAAATAAAAAAAAATTTGCGAAA